CAGCGTGAGCCCGAGCGTAGCGAGAGCTGGGCATTAACGGTTTACGAGACCTGGCTGACAATCGCATTTAACATCAATGTCCTTTTCATGTTCGCAATCTTTGTCTTTCTGGTATTCTGTTGCTGTGCATAATATTTTATTTATTTTATGGTCGAGGTCGAACAACCTTGCATCTAAACTAAAATGAAGATGGATTCCAAGCCATATAACTCATAAGCACTCAAACCCCATGACCGATCCTATTCTACCATTTGAAAACGCTGGGGAACGTTCTGTACAAATAATATTCATGATCTGAAATAAAGAAGCAACTGGTTTTCAAACAGTTTTCAACATTTTACTCAAACTACATGTACAGTCTGCCATGCAGACACAAATGGCGCAAATGGAGAATTCCGGAATCGACTTCGGCACCATTTGATGCAGTGAAACAGTCCAACATGGCTGTCATTATAATGAAGATTGAACGATCAATTCATCGTTGTTTGCTCAAACCCAACTTTTTATATTTTCGCGGGGCATCAACACACCAGTCATCGTCTCATCGGTCGCTGTCCACAAAGAAGATCGAATATCGTCAGAATTAATATCGTGATTTATAATTGTACAATTTGTTCGTAGACCTTAGTTATTATGCTGGTTATATGTTGGTGTTAGAATAAAGAATTCTCGAGTCGCCAATCGCTGTTTTGGTTATTCGTCCGTTAGTACTAAGCGTTTCTGAAAGGCTTCGAGGAACAGCGAGAGGCCCGGCGTAGCAAGAACTGGGCATTAACGGTTTTGAGACGTGATTGACAATGACCTTATCTAGTCTTCGCTTCCACGATCAAATTTCTTTCCTGTTTTAAAACTACGAAAAGACTGCTGAAAATGGAATAAATATATCACTTATCTCAACACAAAACATCAATAAACCTTAAGCCAAGGGTGCTGTTCAAAGAAAAGTTTTATAGGAGAATTGACTTCCCAGATATCTGTATTATATTCATTTGAAGTCTGGGTTTTTTGTTAACGCCAAGACAATACTTCTACATCCCTTTATTTGTCAAACAAACAGACTTTATAGCAGACCGTTCCGACCGGCTCTAATCTCTGAAAGAACCACCAAATTGTTAATTCTGCCTACATAACATTAGGTGTAATTCATGTAATAACTTATCCATGCCTGTGCAACTGATATGCTCCTGCATAAACAGGAATAAATGTATATTATTATTTTTATTGTATTGAAAATTCGACCGAATTTTGTTGTTGATGCTGAGTGACGAAGAGTTCCAGATTGGTTTCAGGTTGATCAATGTGTTTCTCGCCTTCCCGATTCTCGCTCGATTTGACATCCTCGTCTGTTCCTCCTGTAGTTGAGACAATGCTCCCTAGATAAGTGAGTGAATGAAGTAACCTCTTTCAAATCCCTCCCGTTGATGGTGATTCGCGCTTGATGTTGCTGCTGTTGTTGTTGGCTGGTTATTTTCATAACCTCCGTCTTGTCTATGTTCACCTGGAGTCCTGTCTTCGCCGGCTGCTTCTTCGACCAGTTTGTCGGTTTTTGCTTGTAAGTCTTCGATTTTGTGTGACATCAAACATAAATCATCCACGAAATCCAGGTCTTCTAGGTTCTTCGTGCCGGTCCAGGATATCCCTGTCTGCTAGTTTCCCACTGTCTGACGCATAGTCAAGTCAGTCCACCACAATTAGGAATATCATCGTGGGTGATAATAAGCACCCTTGTCTGACTCCTGTGTTTATTCCAAATGCCTCGCTGAGTGAGTTTTCCGTTGTGGATCACTTGACATGTGTCGTTGTCGTACAGCTGTTGAATAAGGTTGATGAATATTTGGGGTACGCCATAGTACTCGAGGAATTTCCAAATTACTTCGCGGTCAACGCTGTCAAAGGCCTTCTCGAAGTCTATAAAGTTAAGGTAGAGGTTTGATTGCCATTCCATGCTTTGTTCTGTGATGACGATGTGTAGAGTTGCAATTCGGTCAGAACATGATTTGCTTGACTTTCCTGAATCCAGCTTGTTCTGGTTGGAGTTCTGTCTCCAGTGCGTCCTTTATTCTCTCCAGGATGATGCGACTCAGGATTTTACTTGGCGTCGACAGGAGCATGATTCCTCGCCAGTTCTTGCAGAGTCCTAAGTCGCCCTTCTTTGGTAGTTTCACAAGAAAACCTTTCCTCCAGTCAGTAAGCAACTTTCTCTCCTTTCAGACCTTTTGCAATAATGGAGCCAGCATATTTGCTGTCATCTCTGGATCCGCTTTTAGTGCTTCAGGGGGTATTCCATCTGGTCCAGCTGCTTTTCCAGCTTTCAGAAGTTTGATTGCATTCAATACTTCAGCTTTCGTTGGAGGATTGGTGTCAACGTGTAGTTGTGTACGCGCTGTTGTTGGTATTTCTGGACGGTGGTCGGTTCAAGAGTCCTTTGAAGTGATCCGCCCATTGTTTAGTCTGCCTTTCTTCCCTGGTAATTGGGTTCCCTTGGCTATCTTTTATAGGTTTCATTTGTATTGATCTCTTCCCGGATAGAGACTTGGTTGTCTCTTTTGCCTGTTGCCCTTTCAGCTTCAGTGGCTAGGTTGTCGTAGAATTGTCTTTTGTCCTTCCTGGCACTCTTCTTCACTTCTTTGTCCAGTGCTGTGTACGTTGAGCTCAAAGTCTCTTTCTCTTGTCCGTCTTTGCATTGAATCATCTTCTCTTTCGCCATTCTCCTCTCCTCTATTAATTTCCAAGTGTCCATTGAGAGCCATTCCTTGTCTTGTCTCTTCTTTCTTCCTAGAACCGTTGAACACGTTTCGTTGAAAATCACCTTCAGAGAGTTCCAATGGTTTTTCACGCATGATTCTTCAGTGATGTCACGTAGTGTTTCCTGCTTTGCTCTGAAAATTGCAGTGAAGGTGTCTTTCGTGGTTGTGTCCCTCAGTTTCTGAGTGTTGAACTTGCATTGTGGCCTATATCCAGCTATCCTCGGGGCTTTTAGCTTCACCTTTAAAGTCCCCTGTACTAGATAGTGGTCTGAAACCACATCTGCTCCTCTTATCAATTTTGTGTCCAGCAGGCTCAGTCTCCAATTTCTTCAGATTGAAATGAAGTCTATTTGGTTTTTGGTGTTTCCATCTGGTGAAATCCATGTCGTCTTGTGTTTATCCTTGTGTTTGAAAACGCTGCTACCAATCACCAAATCATTGAAGGCGCAGAAGTCTGAGAAGAATTCACCGTTGTCGTTCATTTCACTGAGGCCCTCTCGACCCATGGTGAGTTCTCTTCCTGTATTGTCTCCTCCAAGCTTCGCATTCATGTCACCCATTAGGATTTTGATATCGCCATTTGGGACGTTGTCCATTATTGCTTGTAGTTGTCTGTAGACCGCTTCCTTCTTCTCTTGTCCGGAGACGTTTGTAGGCGCATAGCATTGGATGTTTGTAACCTTCCTCCCTTTTGAGTTGAACCTGGCTGTCATTATCCTGGAGGAGATTGGTTCTCACTGCATGAGAGCTTTGGCTGCAGTTGGCGACATCATGATGGCCACTCCCTCGGTGTGCTCGTGATTGTCCTCTGGGTGGCTGGAATAGATTATTGTCTCCCCAGTTGGTAGTTGGCACCTACCACATCCGTTCCATCTGCTTTCGCAGATTCTCAACACTTCTATTCTATATCTCCTCATTTCTGCTGCTACCTGGACAGCCTTTTCAGTTTCTTACATTGTACGAACATTCCATGTGCCCATCCTTATTTTTGCTTTCATCGAAAGAAGTCACATCGGCTGACTGGCTTCCCGAAGGCTTTCAGCAGCCTGCGTCATTTCACTTCCCCGATTCCAGCTAAAAATAAGGTTACTGTTTATATTTTTAGAATTTTTAATATATTGGTTCATTGAAGTTTCTGTAGCGGCTTGGTTGAGTTTTCGGGGTGGAGTTGCTAGCACCACACCCCAACCCTCCCTCTTTACCCGGGCTTGGGACCGGCTAGAAAACAAGCAAGCTAGTAGTCTAGGCGAGGCTAGAAAACTAGCGAGCTAGTAATCCAGGCGAGGTTAGACGGCGCTGTATGTTGACCTTAAAAAGTAGGCCAGCTTTTCATTATGGATAAGGTTTTATTTTGATAAATCACACAGTGTTGTACAGTTATAATAACTGATATCGGTTAGTATTACTGTACAACACTGTGTGATTTATCAAAATAAAATCTTATCCATAATGAAGTTATACTCTATCACAGTGCCCAAGTTTTGTACTAATAGGCCAGGTTTTGAATCATCTGCCATTATTTAGGAAGCAACTGAATAAGTGTCATGTGAAAATGAATCAAAACATCAATAAAATTGGAGTTTGACACTAGGAATGTTCAGCTTAACAGTGGATAGATAAAAGAACTGTTAGAATAACCTACTTTTCAACCCATATCGGGAACCCTCGAGTTCTAAGATCAATATATGGAAAGCAGTGGACTGCAGTTTACATACGTGCAAATTAGAAATGACGTGAATTTGTGAAGTAGTGCAGATTCTGTTTTCTATAAACATAAATGTGAAAGACAATTTTTTTTCCAGATTTCTACATATAAGGTATTCAGTTCAGCCAGCAACAATAACGGCAACAAAAGAATGAACTGGAAACAATTGCTTCTGCCAGTCAAACATGTTCATGTGCATAATTTCCAAAACTTCTACACATTACTAATTCATTGATAACTGAAAAGCACCAAAACTACTCATGAAAGTAACGTATGAAACAATTAATATGAAAGGAATATACTGACCCAGTGGTAAAAACTTTTGAAACCAACGCAATAACTAATTTTTCCTGCAACGGTAACAAAAATAAGGTGAAACGCGACATTTGTGAACAATGTGCATCAAGATAGGTTGTGAATAACTACAGGATAAGCGTAAAAGCCAATGTGCAAGCGAACGGCTACGGAACCGCAATCCAACATGACCGACTAACATGGACAAAAGTGACCTTACACGTGACAGACAATTTCAGTTGACGGCTGTGCAAATGTCCAAGGGTGAATCCAAATCTTAGGCGCTTGTTTTATATCCGAAATGAGATTTCGTTAGAATATTTCCTGCAAATATCTGGCAACAGGGTCAGGTGAGTCATATGTAACGTCCATTACTAAGGTATAAGATTCACCTTATAGTAATGTGAATAAATTCGAATTTTCGGTACCACTGTGAATTTTTATGCTCATGGCCTTATAGGTTTAGTAAGCTGCCGGGCTGTAATCTTTTGAGTTATAGCCCATTCTATTCACAATATCATCTGTTCTATAATTATTTTAGTATTATGCGCAAAACCTTATGTATTGAGGAGGCGTGAAAAATTGTAGTTATCAGAGGGAGTTGCTTTAGGTTACAACTGGTTTATTTGTTTATTCAGTGGTGTACTCATTACACAGATGCCTCATGCGTCGGGTTTTGGTGGTGTTTAACTACAGCGGGCATTCTGATGTAATTTTCTACAGATGTGGTGCAACTAATAGTAATTAAATAACACGTCTGCTAAGAGGCTGATTGTAGATCTCAGTGTTCTGAAATGGTTCACATTTCTTATTCTGCCTTTTTATTCACCACGCATCTCCAATTTCACCCGAAATACTGATTATCCTCTCTGGTTTTGCAACGTATGCATGATTCGCTAACTCAGTTAGTCACCTAGTATTCAAAAATGCTATCCTGGAACTCGTTAGATGAATCTAGGACCCGAGGCATAATTTGATTTTAGTAGGCCTCATGTGGATCTAGTTTACAGTCGAATGCTGTGTGACTGGACAACGTTTGTTGTTTGATTTCACCAAATTACACTTGCTCTATGTAATGCCCTTATTACATTCTCAGACTAGTGTTTGTTTGTGAGAACTGCCTAATATCAGGAACAAGAAATGTTAGACCAGAAGTATCAGCTGTCCTTGCTTTGGCTTGTCTTCCTGATTACAAGGTTAGCTTGGAAACTTTTAACTTGGCAAAGAGTTCTGTGTTCCAAGCGGTTCACAATTTGGTTCGAGAGACGGACTTTCATTAGTAATCAATTTGTATATGGTTTTCAAAGTTTATGAAAATAGTCAGCTTTACGAAAGAAGGTGAAACAAGGTAAATCAGTACTCTTAGTTATTATTTGGGATGCAAAATACTATTATAAGATCTCATAACGGTTAACGTGATAGTGGGAACAAGTGAAGTTTGTCAATATTAAAAGCCCGTGGACAATTTTAATTAATATACTCTGAACTCATTTTATATATCAGGCGCTTACTGCTTGTGTGAGACAGACCCAAGTAGTCTTGAGTTTAATTATGAATTCTGATTTTTCTTCATATATATATAGTCATGTTCAAAGGAACATAAAATAAAGAAAACTGAGTAGTTTTTAAAATTGGATAATAAGAATTAGTCATGGATGCATTCAAAATTGAAACAACTAGCTAAATTTGAGTCACATTAAAGCACATTTTACCATATATGACTTACTACCGTAGAATTTAGAGCTTTATAACGAATAAACTAAAACCATACGCATCATTGATTATTTTTCTGGATTTGGAAGGCTTCTATACATTTTGGGTTAAAATTTAATTGAGCTCGCAATGAGATCTTATTGCCTTTCACTGTTCCAAGGGCATCAGTCGAAGAATAATGGTGAAATTATAGCCGCTGTAGATGAAGTTCTAATCCAACTTAAGATGTAAAAAATTCTCAAGAGATGTAATTAAGAAAACACAAATCAGCAAAGAAATCTCCTTCCGTAACTTCACTTCAAACGGTTTGATGTGTGCAACGGTAATTGGCAAATAAGGTCAGAGGTCACTATCAGTAGTACTATTTACCATCTATAGTCCTCTTATTTCCTATCCGTTCTTTCCGAATTATTCTTCACTCAGTTAACTAGTCGTCAACTCCCTTGATTGCTTAAAATTATTCACTCTTTCATACAATATTATTTATCATACACTTTAGATTGTTTTGCTACTAACTGACAGTAACCTTTACTGTCATCTTGTATATTAATGAAAAATTGGTATAGTTTATTCCTTTGTGTTCCCAGTGGGACATATGTCTTCAACCTGGGGCTTTCAAGTTTCATTAGCAGTAGTGTTTTCCTTTTTATAGGGTAGGTTGCTAGTTACGTGCCCAACTTTCCATCTCTGCCGGGCCTACCACCGGCTAAACGAGGTAAATGAGTGTGTCAACCGGGGATGGAACCCTTGACCACTTGGTTGGTTGGCTGGGGTCCTACCAGTGAACCATCGACGCACTAACATTGTATACATTAACCTCAAAATGACTGTACAGCTTTGAAATGAAGTTAAGAAAACAGATCATTTTTTACATACAATACTTTCTATAGTGTTCTGTATTATTATTAGGAGTATTTTTGGTGGCACCATGCAACGGCAGTTTTTGAATAAATTTCATTAATTATCAATGTGGATATGAATTTGGTGCACTACGTATGAGCTTTTTATACACCATATCTCTTGAAATAAATGATTTTCTGGTGATTAGATCACTAACTTCTTTTTGGCCAATTTATATGCTTCAGGGTAGTTTGACTTTCTATCCATGCAGTCACAACTGTCACTTCAAAAGTGCCTTAAAAGAATTAGCTAGAATGTGCAAACTAATAATTAGACATCAAAGTGGTAAATATGATAGTAGTGAGGCAAAAGAAATATATAGGCGTAGGCAGGCTAGCGCTAAGTCTGGGAGAAAATTCTGGTAAAACTAAGAGTACTTCCTCTTGGCAGTAGTTCTTTTCAAATTGTCAGAGGTTGTAGACTAGCCATCAGGATATTAAAAATTACTTATTTGGTTGCTTCAGTTAGTCGTAATATGATGCTACCTCTCCAGTCTTGCATCTTTTTCCGCATAACACATTTAATGAAGTTCTCTGAAAAGTATTTATTGTCTTAAAATTAGAGCGAAAATTGTGACTTACTTATTCTTACCTAATCTAACAGTAGTCGGTATTACACTTATCAACAGTAAACTTAAACAGACTTCAAATTATTTTTATTTCGAAGGCTGAAGAAGTGTCCAGAACTGCAAACATATGGAAAGAAGCTCGTAAGTGGTCGGAGATCAGTATGGAAGTAGTATGTTACTTTCGAATTCAGCCTTACACTTCACTTAGAATTTAAGTCCATCTCATACCTGTAAACCGCCTGAACCACCTATTCGATCTTCCAGCACATTGTAAGTTCATATTACTCTGCTACTAATTATTTTAGACATCGACATTCCACAAATGTAGCCCCAACGAAGCCACTACCTGATCTACCGAAGAAAGCTGGAAGAAGTAGAAGTAACTACATATTGGATAAATTATTTTTCTATGTATATCTTACTATATATTATCTTCATGTATATATATATAGTATCAGCTTATTGCGTGAGTTAAATAATTAGTTACATCTAGAAAGCCATCACTTGCCTTTTTATACATCAAAATCAGCCATGCTAAAAGTGTAGCGAAGGTGCTCATATGCACATTAAGAAAAAAACAGAGATAAGCTTTTTGGTGGGGTCCCAAGTATCATTAATGACTAGTTGGATGGTTACACGTAGTGATCAAGATATTACAGGTCTTTTTACTGCTTGTCAAATAACTTGAACAAATGTCTTTCTTCAAAAGATGGATCCTTCATCTTGCGAAAGCTGGTTGTCTTAACCTGATCAGCTAGTTCAAAGGCATATATTGTGGTATAAAGTGAGACTTCGAAGGCTTTGAATAACTATGGTGAGATACTGAGGTTTTTTCTAACTTTGCTGATGGGGAGTCAGTGATGTTAAAGGGTTTTCCATGTCAAAATACATTTTGGATGTCTAATACACTAGTATGTAACTCCATATGAAGTAAAACTGTTCTTTACTGAACCCTTGCATAAACCAGTGTCTACCATTTGAAAATTTTAATTTTTCCAAACATCTGCTTTGTACCCCATGTTTGTAACTCTTCTGGATAAGCATCTTAATGGCAATACTCTAAACGTCTACTGAAGGTATTGTATTCCGCATCTATTAGGCATTAATGTTATTCTGTTCAGTTTCTCGGATAGTGGAGAACAGTTCGATTCAGAAGCTTCCTTTTTGTTATTTCTATTTATGTTAGACGTCTTTTACACACTTTTATTTTTCTGAACTGTTACCAATTTCTATCTTTGTAAACTTCGCTAAAACATCTGAAATTTTTACGTACTCTAAACGAAGGATTCATTTTTCTTGTTATCTTTAGTTGATTATTCTTCTGTTACTTGTTTTTAAATTACTAACCTCAATGGGGAATTTTATATGTTAATCGCTTACCAGGACGTAACCACTACTAGTAATTGTCATCAGGTTGTAACAGAAAGAAACTCATCCACCCTTATAAGATTTGAAAATCTTATGCTCAGGCTCAAAGTTAGACACTTAACCACCCACCAATTCATGTCACAGTCAGTTCACCGCAGGACTAAGTGATGTATACAAAGGAGTTACAAGGTGATAATTAGTATTGTTTACGAGTACTTACTCTTGCTAGAAATTTGTCAGTTAAGTTTAATTCTTAATGTCTTGTGCTGTGTCTTTCAGCTTAATGCTCACATTGCAAATCCCTTCAATAGACTTTGTTTATTATTGGTTTTTTTTAAAAATGATACTGACTTTATGATCATTAGTTAGTGTACTAAATTATGAGTCAATCCTACAACATTCTACTGCGGTGATTGTCACAGAAATTTATATTTCTCTGTGCTCGTGTTCTTATTCGTCAGTTTTCAAACTACTCCATTAAAACGCAAGGCAGCGTTGTTACCTTGCATCAAATATTAGCAGTCTTACAGAGCAATATGCAAACCGTCACGTGGTCGGTAAGTTGTATTTGCCACATTGGTTTGTAGGTTTGAGTGTTTTATCTGTCATTTTGTTCATTGTGTTAATGAAGATTCAGTGTAGTGATAGCCTTTTGTTTTTTATTCAACAGTTTTCACTGTCTTTTTATACAGTTTGTCGAAGCAATTTGCTGTAGTTTAGGCATAAGTTGTGCGTCGGGGGCGGTGGTAGAATGCGCGCGAATGACTCAGGTGGTTTAGGATTCGATCCCCATCCGACTCACTTCTTTACCTCGCTAAGCCAGTAATAAGATTGTTAAAGAGGCAATGGTGGGTATGAGGCTAGCGACTCCATCCCGTAAAAATAAATACCACTGCTACCGAAACTTTAGAGCTCCATCTTGAAGCCCTGTGTTCTACTAGGAATGTAAAGGAGTAAGATAAAATAAGTTGGAACAATTTGTTTAATTACTTTAACTTATTTCTTATTTTTAATAGTTAGGTTGTTCAGGTTACCTAAACTGTCAAGTGATCCAAAAATTTCATCTCCATTGTGCGTTAGTCATGAGTTACATGTGGTCTATGATGAAAATACGGGGGAATTTCGTGTAAGTGAGCGGTTTTAAACAAATAATAAGCGTAAAATCATTCGAATTCTTTGATTAACATGGTCAATGTGTTAGACTAAGTTTTATGGTCTACTTGCATTTATAGAGATTGTTTTCATGAATCCAGTTTACTTGTGCATGTGTAGTGCGGTAATTCAGAATTATCTCGATAAATCGCAATCCGTTTTTAAGTAAAGCTAATTTTTAAGAATTTTAACACGAGACCGTAACTTACTTTATTATTGTGCTGGAATATTATTGAGGTGAGTAAAACTGCAAATGTATATAACTCGGAAAAGATACGGAATTCAAGTACTGGGAATATGTGAAAGTAGATGGAACGGGAATGGGCTCACCAAATTGTCAACGGGTGAGTCAGTGATCTACTCCGGTCACCTCAAAGTTAACCACACGCACACCGAGGGCGTGGCTATCATGATATCACCAACGGCAACGAAGACCTTGATGCAATGGGAGGCGATCTCGTCCAGGATAATGACCGCCAGATTCAACTCCAAAGGAAGGAAAGTGTCAATCATACAATGTTATGCACCCACAAACAACGCAGACCTCGAAAAGAAAGAAGAATTCTACAGACAACTACAGGCAGCAGTGGACAATACTCCAGCTGGTGACATTAAAATACTAATGGGAGACATGAACGCCAAACTGGGACCAGACAACACAGGAACTCGGAGAAATGAATGAAAATGGAGAACTCTTCGCCGACTTCTGCGCCTTCAACGAACTAGTGATTGGTGGCAGCGTATACAAACACAAAGATATCCACAAGGCTACATGGGTGTTACCAGATGGGCAAACCAAAAACCAAATTGACTTCATCTCAATGCTGCTCAAAGAAGTGGAGGCGCAGCCTAATGGACACAAAAGTAGGAAGAGGAGCAGACGTCGGCTCAGACTACTATCTCGTACAAGGGACAATCCAAATCAAATTAAAAGCTTTCAGGTAAACAGGAGCTTCAGATAGACCACAAGCCAAGCTCAACACAAACTGAAGGACTAGACTACAAAGGACATCTTCACTGCAAGCATAAAGGACAAAGCCGAGACACAAATCAACACTAGCGAAGAAGTCGACGTCGAAAAGCACTGGGAAAAATTGAAAACGGTGTGGAGTCAAACCTGCATGGGAGTTCTAGGCAGAAAGAAGAGGCAGGACAAACAGTGGTTCACTATGGGCACTTGGAAACTAACAGAAGACAGGCGGATGGTGAAACAAAAGATTATCCAGTGCATCGACGAGTTGAATGCAAGCTACAATGCGCTGAAAAAAAGAGTGAAGAAGAGCACCAGGGAAGACAAAAGAAAATATTATGAAGCCATGGCAAACGAAGCAGAACAAGCTGCAGGCAAAGGAGTCTTCGCCACATTCTACCAAACAACTAGGCACCTATCGGGCAAAAGTTCGACACAGATTAAGCCAGTAAAGGATGACAATGGAAAGCCAATCACCAAAGAGGTGGAGCGAAGAAAACACTGGACTGAACAATTCAAAAGACTTCTAAATCGTCCGCCACCTACAACGCACCCAATAATACCAACAACGGAAGCAGATCTACCAGTGAACATCGACCCCCCGACGAAATCAGAAGTCTTGAAGGCAATCAAGATGCTAAAAGCTGGAAAGGCAGCAGGACCAGATGGAATCCCAGCAGAAGCATTGAAAATTTACCCAGAGACAACAGCGGACTTGATGACTCCATTGCTAGAGAAGGTGTAGAAAGAGGGCAAGGTACCCGGGGGTTGGAAGAAAGGCTACTTATTCAAACTACCAAAGAAAGGAGACTTAAGTCAATGCAAAAACTGGCGCGGAATTATGCTCCTGTCCATTCCAAGCAAAATACTAAGCCGCACCATCCTGGAGAGAATCAAACAAGCCCTAGATGAAAAACTCCGACCGGAACAGGCTGGATTCAGGAGGAACAAATCATGTATTGATCAAATCGCCACATTTCGGATCACCATTGAACAAAGCTTGGAATGGTAGTCACCTCTCTATCTCAACTTCATCGACTTTGAAAAGGCCTTCGACAGCACAGCGTCTATCGAGAGGTGATTTGGCAACTACTTCGCTACTGTCTGTCTGTTTTCGACATAGAACTTTGCACAAATGTGCGGAAGTTCAAGTCGCCACATTCCGTGTAGCACGCGAAGCAAGAGAAGAAAGTACAAGAAAAGCATAATAGAAACAGTGAGCAGAGGTGTGAGACAAAGGAGTAATAAAGAAATACAAAACAATTTCATTGAAGATCATAAGTCACAGGGAGTGGATGCATCTGCGCCACTGAGGACGATTTTGAGCCATGTCACCAATAGTTTCCAACCATAGATTTTTGCCGTCCCGAGGACCCCAGCCTGGAAGTCTACACCTTCCTACGTGGCTAAGACCAACTGTTGTGGATTTCATTGACTGATGCCAAGTTTTTGTTTGACCGCCGCTAGCTTTTTTCCAGCCTGACCCTATATCCGCTAACATAGCTCGTCGAGGGAGGCGATGACTTGGCATACGTAACACATGTCCTAACCATCTCAGTCGATGTAGCTTCACGACTTCGTCGATTGATTTCCCCTGTTTACCTAGAACTCTACGCCTAACCTCCATGTTGTTCACCTTATTATGCCACTTTACACGGGAAATAGAACGCAGGCACCTATGATCAAAGACAGCTTGTCTTTTCATGTCTTCCACTCTCAGTGGCTACTACGGGGTCCCATCGACAATTATACGTATCATCCAACAGTTATACGACAATGCTGCATGCCGAGTAATCCACAACGGGAATTTTACGGAAGCCTTCGAAGTGAGGACGGGAGTGAGACAAGGGTGTCTACTATCATCCATAATCTTCCTGATTGCAGTAGATTGGATAATGCGACAAACAGCGGGCAATGAGGAAACAGGCGTAAAACGGAATCACACAAAAAACTTGGAGGATCTGGACTTCGCCGATGATATATGTCTGATTTCCCATAAACTGGAAGATATGCAAGTGAAAAGCAACAAGTTGGCAGAAGAAGCATCCAGAGAAGATAGGCCTTCAGGTGAACATAGATAAAACAGAGGTGATGAAGATTCCTGGCCGCCGGCCAGACAGATAACAATCAGCATAAATGGGAGGAGTCTGAAGGGATCAACCTCCTTTACCTACCTACCTGGGAAGCATCGTTTCAACTACAGGCCGACGGAACTGACGAGGATATCAAAGCCAGAATCGGAAAAGCAAGACAAGCTTTCATTACTCTCAGGTCTGTGTGGAAGTCAACAGCACTCAGCACTAAAAATAAGATCCGGGTTTTCAACTCCAATGTAAAGTCAGTGCCACTATACGGATCAGAGACTTGGCGAGTCATAAGGAGCATCTCAAACAAACTTCAGACCTTCGTTAACAGTTGTCTTCGCTCAATAATCAAGATCAGATGGCCAGAAAGGATCAGCAACAGGGATCTCTGGCAATGAACGAACCAACCAGGAAACGAGTGTGCAACAAATAGGCAGGAAGAAATGGAGGTGGATTGGTAATACTCTGAGGAAACCATCAAGTGACATCACTAGACAAGTCATCGCTCGAGTGGAACCCGAAAGGGAAGCGGCGAGTTGGTAGTCCAAGGGTGACTTGGAGGAGGTCATGTGAAAAGGAGATGAAAGCATGTGGGCAGAGTTGGAGCGAGGTGGAAAAGTTTGCAGAAAACAGAAGGCAATGGAAATGCTCAGATGAAGCCCTATGTTCCTCTAGGAATTGAAGGATACAATAATAATAATAATATAACTCAGCCGCAACCTAGTATTTAGACTATGATGTGCTTGTATCAGAGTGGAAGCAGTTTTGTTGACCTGTCATTCCTTTAAGATATGTTTGAGTGGCAGTTCGAAACGTCTTACTAGAGCCATCTACTTATCAGGGATTCACTGAATGTCATAGTCTTTATGCTTACATTGTTTTAAATCATTCACTTGATTGGTATGACTGTAATTTACACAATTTTTTCCAAAGTTCCTTTTGGTTACCCTGAACGACCGAAAACTCGGACTGATTTTAAAACTGGTCTTTTTGACTTATATGTTCCACTGTTAGAAAGCGAATTCTATGACATAATTAAAAAGGGTAGGCATCGGAAAATGAATTCGGTAGTATTAAGAACTGTACAAAAAACGGTAATAGTTAAAGTGAAACGAGTTAAAACAGGCAGAACTTCTTAAAATAAGTCAGTCAACAGAGAAACTTTAGCCCTGTGCATGTTGGTATTTATCATGATTGTGTATTTGCAACCAGCTAATTTCTCTCAAAATCTTACTTTATTCAATATGCAGTGTGCGAAAATTGACTTTAAGTGGGTAAATAAGTGCTGCTTCTTTATGATAGTAACTGTGAGTTGTCAGTGTTGATAGCTTAAAATGTTGTACTCATTTGACTCTTTTTCCCACCGTCCTGTTGTTAATCACTGAATATCAACCATTTAGCACACTCTTTTCATGGTTTCTTGCATTCAATTAGATGTCTGAGTAAGTTACTACACGAGTTTTCAACACTATTGAAATCTTATATTTGTATGAATTGGTTTGATTCTGAGGATATATATCAACACGAACTGACGTTTGCATTAGAATTCACCTTGAAATCAGTCAAATATATGAATATAGCCCGAGGTACCTACAGTTCCTAAAAAGGCCTTATTCTTACAAATACAGTTCCTTGGGGACAAAACATCAGTGAGATACTAACACAATGCCTTGGAAGTGCGGTAAAAAGAGCACTCCCTGCTGCTGAATTGCGCTGTGTCTTCAAAACCACTCTTTTGCGTTCGCAAGTAAAAGACAAACTGCCTAATTTCTCCTTTTTCACGTGTAGCTATCAGTTTGTCTGCTCCTGTGTTGCCAGTTACACAGGCCGTACAATTAGGCAGGTTTTTCGTCGAATTTCCGAACATCACCCTGTGTGGTTAAGCAAAGGACAAACCAAATCTATTCGCAGCGCCATTCTATCACGTCTTGTGGATACAGAACACAAGATTGATGTCAAACAGGCTTTCAGGGTCATTTATCGCATACCTACGAATCTCAATTTCGCCTTAAGAGTTCGCCTACTTAACATTCCTGAGGCTGTTGGGATCCATATTAAGAAGCCTAATTTGTGAGTCCAAAAGAAGTTAGTTCAGGCATTATCCTTACCTTGGCCATTTAGGTTTGAATAATCCTGAATTTTGTGGAATTTTCCTAATTTTAGTAGATATTCTGTTTGCTACTATATCTGTATTATTATTAGTATAATTTAAGCATCTTTAATGAACTGTAAATGCATTGATCTTAGTTCACAAATCGATACTATTTAAAAAAACACTAATTTGTTATTGACTTTTAATCTGGAATATTCTGTATATATAAACATATATATAAATCGTGGTTTTATACTCACAAAATACATATAATTGTAGAGCCAGAAGAGGAATCTTATCGAAAAGTGTATTCTTTAGATGTCTGAATGAATATTTTCGTTATATTATAAATAGTTATTGATAAATGAGTGACCTGAAGATGGATTTGTAGAAGTCTTAATGAATAGTCATAAACAATAGTGTCCACAAAGCCTTGTATGCATATAAATACCGATGATATTGTGTTACAGTGGGCCTATAATGAAAATTGCCAGGATTTTGATTGAGCTGTTGCCTGAGTGGTAGACTATCTGACTAGTAATATGAAGATCTTGGGTTCAGTCTGTTGTGGAGTACCGAATGTGTATAGAGTCCTGAATTAGGATAAATAAGGTATCCAGTGATTTTTTGTCTTCAAGATTTCTCTAGTTGATTTCGATTTGAAATGAAATCTGTCTGTCGTTATCAAAAGCAAGAGCGAAATGCCTTTCCTCCTCACACTTATTTCTCAACCCTTATCAGTAGTCTTTTTTATTTCTTCGTAGTTACATATTTAAACTATGGACTACCTTTTCATCCATGAATAAAGTATTGTAGACATATTTTCAGTTACTATGAATTGTAAACCCCTTAAGAACTTTGTGATGAGCAAAGCAACTTCATTAAGTAATGTGTATTACATACTGATCTTTATTAAGGGAATGCCAGAAGAGTGGTTGGAATGGCTACATGCTGCCAATATATCATTTCAAGAACGTGAACAGAATCCAGAGCTGGTGATTGAAGTTTTACAGTGCTATGATACAGCTAAACATCGTGCAAGGCGACAGAAATTTATAATGACAGAAGATTCCAGTTGGGGTAAGAACCGTGATTTTTTGATAATCTCCACATAATATCAAATTAACTCATTTTCTCTATAACAACATTAATGACATTAGAACAAGAAAGAGAAATATTGTTATATGAGATTAGTAAATCATCCAACGTAATTATGAATTGCTATTAGTCATATTCTTGACTGAAATTCATATAAATAAGGTTTATTGTATCTCAGTCATTATTCCTGAAGTTTGTTTTAGTAGAAGTACACAGAAACATAAATCAGCGTAAATGATAAAAAGACTGCTTATGCGTAAATGTACTACGCAAATAGAGGTAACTAATAAGTTAGAAATATTAGATGCAAAAGTTTTTATTCATTTTTTATTTTTTATTTTCTGATTACAGCTTGATTCCACACTGTATTTTTGGTACAAGTGTGGAATTTTCAGCATGGATATCGGTAGCCCAAATTTCGCAGACTGACCATAGATATCAGGTGTGCGTCGGCAGGGGATCGAACCTCGGACCATGTGCATGGTCGGCGAGAGTCCTAACCACTGTGCACCTGTTTCAGGTGATAGAGTGGTGTGCCGCGTTAATTATTCCTGTGTGTTTAAGATTTATTACGTTACACTTGTTTCCAAGTCATACAAAGGTTCAGTTCTACAGAATTAGAATGGTGGTTTTATACGCACAAAAACACTTGTCTATAATTAATCACACAGAAGTGAAATCATACATATTGTGAACGTTAGTAGAAGTGTATGAAAAAACCTACATCAACTGGTCAGTATACCCACTTTTCTCAGCTTCGTACATTTGAAATACAAACGCAGTCTGATAAAGTGCTTGCTCCACAGAACAAGAGCAATCTGCTTTGACGAATATCTAAATGAAGAGTTTAATTTTATTAAACATTTACTGAGTGAGAACGGTTACCCAGAAAAATTCATCGACAAAAGTATCAATCAAAATCCAAGACAAGCCAAAGTAACAGCAGTTCCAAAGCAGGTCTTGTTCTTACAACTTCAATTCCTCGGGGATAAAATCAGTGCGATATTAATACAGCGCCTAAGCAACGCGGTATAAAGAGCATTCAGTGCTGCTGAAGTATGCCTCGTATTCAAAACTACCCCCATTTGCATTCGGGAGTAAAAGATAAACTACCTGATTTCGCCTCTTCTATGTGTAGCTATCAGTTTGATTGCTTCTGTGGAAACAGTTGCGCCGTACAATTAGGCGTGCTTATCGTAGGATTTCGGAACACCATTCTACGTGGTTAAGTAAGGGACAAACAAAGTCTATTGATAGCCCTATACCATCTCATCCTGTAGATACAGAACACAAAATTGATCTACACAAGGCCTTCAAAGTCATCCACCGTATATAGACTAAGGTTAATTTTACCTCAGGAGTTCGCATGTTACATATTGCTGAGGCTGTTGGAGTCCACATTAAGAAGCCTAACTTGTGTACCCAAAAGAAGTTGGTTGAGACGTTTTCCTTACCCCGCTGGCCATCAAGGTTCCAATGATCCTTAATCTGTTCTAGAGATTTCCTTAATTCTATTTGATATTCTGTTAACTAATATATTTTTATGCTTATTATAACTTATGCATCTTTCTCGAACTGTAATTTCATTGGTGCTAACAAATTGAGAGTATTTAGAAAACATCGATATTGTCAGTGATGATTATTCTAGAATATTCTGTGTATATAAATATATATAATTGTAGAGCCGGAAGAAGAATTTATCAAAAAGAATATTCTTTACTCAAATATTCCTGAGTAAAAATTGATAAATGAAAATTTCCTCTTTCACCGAAATAGTGAAAGTTTACCAAACTGCTTACTATAAAGGCTAGAATAAGCACACACAAATACACAAATGGTCTTCCAGAATGTTTCATTTCTGATAGATCACCTCAGTTTAATCATTTGACAAAACTATTCATTTATTATTCTCATTCCTTTCGTCGTCAAAACAAACCAAACACAACTCTTCTAATTTTGCGGGTGTAATTATTTTGTTGCCCTAATTTTTGCTCTGTCTATTATCCCTTCGATATTTTGATATTAATAATATAATATTAATGCTGGTAAATTCTACAGTCGGCGTTGTACATGTTCTGATAGCTTTAGATCCTATCGGTGTTTACTTTTAATACTTAGCCTAATTTTTTTGTCTCAGTGCATTCTCCTGATTATTAATCACTATGAAAGGAGCCAATGGTTCCTTGTTAGTTTCATTTTTTAAGGAAATGTACATTTGCATAACTGTCAGTTAAGAAAAATGTAATGTTTAGTTCATTGCATGCTACTCAAAGTTGGTTTGTATACTTCACATTGATGCAGGTAAGCCATTCACAGTAGAATTATTGCAGTAATTCTTCTTAAAGTCTATGATTGGTCAATCTTGGGTTGATTATTCAGTGGTAATAGTAATAACACAACTAGTTTTATTTATTTCGTACCGTTGTAAATTATATGTTTGTACTTCCAATAATCAATAGAAGGGAAATGAAATTCTCCCATAACTAATTTCATCATTTCCTATCATGAATAATGAATCGATTGGATCCATATAGTCGAGTTATTTTTCTGTTTTGCTCATGTTCTCTTTGTCTCTGTCCTATTTTTGTACATCTATGCTGCACGTTGTTTTCTAGACAGAATTACTGTTTATATATATATATATATATATATATATACAAGATGACTTTGGAAACGATCCTGATTAGGTTTTTTGATTGAAATAGTCAGTTTTTCAATCTATATATGTATATGTTTCAACAGACTATCACCCTCTACATGTAGGCTAGTCGCATACACATGTAACTTAAACAGTGTTCTCCAAAAGATCGCTTTATTTCACTACCTGTAAGAATTTGCGGGCACGACGAATTTTCCAAGAAAAATTAGAGGAGATTTTCTCAATGACTGATTTTGATTTGATTTTTTGTTTTTTGATTACAGCTTGATTCCACACCGTATTTTTGGTACATGTATGGAATTTTCAGCGTGGATATCGGTAGCCCAGAATTCGCAGGCCGACCATAGATATCAGGTGTGCATCGGCGAGGGCTCGAACCCCGGATCATGTGCATGGTCGGTGGGAGTCCTAACCACTGTGCCACCGACGTACTGTCCATAGACGATTGATTAGTCACTTCCCATTTCGTGTATTCTAGTCAAGCAGTGGTGTTGTATGCTTAGGATTATTTATGTTTTTCTAGTGAGCAAATATTCCATAGCAAACAAATAACCGTGTTTTAGAATTTTATTTAAACTTACGACTAGTCTCTGTCACAGGGAATCAGAAATCGAGCATGCTTTCATGAGACTACGAATATTTCTCACTGGATGTTAAAATGACTTCTACCCACATCCAAAATTGCTGTTGTTTTTCATTTATGACATTTTTAGCATGTATAGTTATGTAGTTCTCAGTAAATCAATTGATTTTGGTGATTTATTGACCGTGAATTAGTACAGTATTGCAAACACTGAAAATCCAAATGTGTTGAGTTATTGTTTCCATATTATTTCTAGATTTTTGAACAACTTTCACCTATATGTATATATTAGATTAAGTGGAGTATGAGAGGAGTTACTACTCACCGCAACTAAATATGTGTATCAAAGAAAGTAAGAATTTGGAAATAATGATTGATTGGATTACAACATCACAGCTGGGTGGTTGGGCGACGTGCTCGTCCTTTGTCTCGCAACTACATAAATTTGTTGAGAATGCTAACTGAGATCCACAAGCTAAGATTTATTGACGTAAAGAAATAACTGTCTTGAAAGAATGACTGTCTGTCAAAGAAAGTAACTGGGAAACTAAGTTTCCATTACATTTGCTCCTGTGAAAATAATGATGAAGACACCATTGATCCAGTTGGTGCATTGGGGGACATTGTAACTTCTATTTCAGAGTAAGACCTGACTTAAAAATCTGATTTGATGAGGAATCAGACATAATTCACCTGGGAAATACATACCTTATAGAATCTTTTTGTGGGTCCAACTTATGTCCGTCTTTTCATTTCTCACGATATTTTGCATGATCCAGTTAACCACAACTAGAAATGCCTTGTCTTAATCTAGTTTCCTATTCAGAGACTTTGGTGGGCTTTCCACGGCAAATCACTTTATATGTGGCATCATCACACATCGATAACTGTGTTATATACTGCATTTCATAGAAGTGAAGCAGTCCCAAATTACTTCACTGTTGGCGCTATCGAAAGCCTTTTCAAAGTCGACGTATTTGAGGCATGAGGTCGACTACCATTCTATTATCTGTTCGATTGTGATAGTCTTCGATCCGCTGATGACTTTTTCTTGTATCTAGTCTGTTGTCTGTCTGTTTTCGACATAGAACTTTGCACAAATGTGCGGAAGTTCAAGTCGCCACACTCCGTGTAGCACGCGAAGCAAGAGAAGAAAGTACAAGAAAAGCATAATAGAAACTGTGAGCAGAGGTGTGAGACAAAGGAGTAATAAAGAAAAACAAAAGTTTCATTGGAGATCATAAGTCACAGGGAGTGGATGCATCTGCGCCACTGAGAACGGTTTTGAGCCATGTCACCAATTGTTTCCAACCATAGATATTTACCGTCCCGAGGACCCCAGCATGGAAGTCTACACCTTCCTACGTGGGTTAAGTCATTCATCCAGGACATCTTTCAGATTTTCCAGGACGATGGGACTTAATGTTTTGCTTGAGCTACACAGGAGCACCAAGAAACACCAGTTCTTGGAATAGCTTAAATCTCCCTTCTTGAGTTTGACGAGGCAGTCTTTTCTCCAGTCCATGGCTACATTTTCATTCTTTTAAACCTTCTGAATTAGTGGCCACTGGTAACAAAACTACGTAAAACTTATTTGTTTTATTAATGCATCTAAGCACCTATTTCTTCTCTGTCATTCCCTAATATACATACATAAATAAGCAGCCACTTGGCATTTAACAACTTAATTCGACACATTTTTCAGGTGATACTGTTTATATCGCCAGACTTCAGGAGATTAACCACACAAAATCCAAGTCAGTATTATAGTTTTACAAAATTGTAAATAACATATATGTCATTCAGACAACATATTAATGTATGCATGCTAAATTTTAAGTCAAATTACTGATTATAAATATATACAAAAAAAGTGATGTTTGTAGAAACTTTGGTGTTCTCGGCGAATTAGCTTCAACTTTATAGTGTTCTTCTGTTTCTAAGCTTAAAATTAGTGGAGAATCACATGATTTACTGATCTATAAATACATCTTAACTCAGTTGATATTTTGTTACATCAGTTTGAAATGCTTATCCATTATACATGAATGAAGTGATGTGCTTAAAATGCTATCCAAGAAATCCATGTATCTAAAATGTTAACTTCACAGGCATTAGATTGGTTTAAAGGTGCATTTCGTCATGGAGAGGTGTCAATAAGAGGTTCACTGGTGAGGCCGACAAACCTGATGTAGATTCCACGACAAACTGGCATGGTTAAGAGTATCATTGAAAACCAGGGGGTCACTGAATCGTTGTTTTGTACACTTCCTAGATCCTTCATGAGCGTTGACCACTGAAGCAGAATACAATAACTCTCCGAAAATTTCTCGTAGATTAGGAAAGGCAAATAAGGATGGAGCATTTCAAATGCTCGTTCGGAGATGACGGAAACTTCAAACCGTAAAACAGTCAAAAGTTCAAGGTGCACAATTTCAGAATAATAATTTTATTTCACATGATGATCGCTATTTATTCTATTAAATGTGTGACAAAAGAGTTAACTTTTTATCCTCGTAATCTATACATGTTAAAACTGTTAATGTTAAACTTCGCTTTTCAAAATATCTTATTTCATTTCCTGTCTTTCAAATACATTAACTTTGAATGAAACAAAAGTTGAATGTAAGGAATCCGGTAAATGATTGATTAAAAAAAACACTAGATAAATACAGCTTATCTGAAAAGTGAACCATTTATTTTCTTACTTCTGTTGGTATGATTCTTTGAAAATATTTATTTAATATGCTTCTGTGAATAGAGGATGTTAGCCTATGTCGCTCAATAGCCAAGAGTGTTTCTACTGCTCTACCAATATATACTAGAAGGGGAGTTACTATGAAGAGCGGCGTTCACCCAGGTCATTTGTGATAGGTAACAACTACCATTTATAGGATGTGACTAACATCTTATAGAAATTTTAGTAAGGTAGATAGAAATGTAATTAGAATGTTAATCTTGTCGATCACCACAATTTATGCAGAGCATAAATTATTGAGAGTGCTATGAGCAGTGTCACTAACAATCTTAAGCTGCTTATTCTTACCGTTTCTAGGACGACATCAAGGTAGATTACATCTCCGTACGTGTCTTAAACCCACCGACGAATACTTCATAACATGTTTTTGATGTGGTTTTGTTCTCCGAGCTGGATGGTTAGTTTGCGAGAACAAAACCACATCAAAATCATCCACCTGAGCTACAAATCTTCTCTATCATATTTACTTCATAACATGTTTTGATTTGATCGTCCCTCTCTTCTAAACTGATCCTTCACCAACTAATACCACTTGACGGGCAGAGCAGTGAATTTACACGCGTGCTACATGTTACAGCCAGCTCAATCGGCGCACCTTGACAGTCTCATCATTTGACTTTCCCTCTTTATTAAACACTCTACTGACTGCCATACTACTCACCATATTTTAACATTCAGGATGACGAATAAGACGTAGATATCTATGGTCATAAACAACGAACCTGTTTAGTTCTCTCATTTTAAAAATTTATTGCTGGTAGTCATAAAGAAGGACAAAGCGAACTAATGGGTATTGCATACATAATCTGATGGGTGGCTGGGCATCCTGTCTGCGCAAATGATTGAGCGATTTTACAAATACCAGACGAGTCTTTTCTCTTCAAGGTGTGATCTCGTCATTAAATACCCTCAACTATTCCATTAATAATTTTTAAACCACGATTCGGTTTAGACGAATTCTGCATGTAACAGGGGTGAGTTACATGGCAAATATAATTTCATTTTGTAATCTTGCTTACCTTAAACGTGAGTATCATGTACATACTCTAGACTAAGAGACTGTGCGGCAGTAACAAGTCAATCTCTAAGGCAATAAAGTCGACAAGGATCACATCCATTTGTAAATTTGTTATGAAATTAGATAGTTTGAAAAGTGCTATGAAAAACCTTTGTACCGTACATTAACTGGAAAAGGCATTTTAAGTGAGTTCAAAAGCGTGTATTTGTAACCCGCTTATTGGAGTGACTGATTGCTAATCTGTAGGTATTTAGCTTGAATGCTGTTACTACCGGTGATCAGCCTATTGAATCAGTACCAATCCATGCGATAAAAATTGTTTTACCTAGCCTTAGTGAATACAACACTACAATAAGATGAGCTTTATATCAAAATTGTGCCGTTTTACTTATTTCTTCCATGTAGATCGAGTTATTATGTAAATAAATTTTTGAATAACACTTCTGTTATGGCAGTCAAAAATAAATACACTCACTGAATGATAATAGAGTAGTTATTCAGGTTATTCGTAAACTTGAATTCTTCAGAATATATCGAATTCGTAAACGTGGAAATATATATCTCATATCAATTTGTTTATTAGATACATAACACAGTAAAAGAGTATTATTTAATGGATGGCTTTTTGTACACAATTTATTGTTCATAATCATATCAATAATAATCACACAACTACGAAACTTTCGATTTATAGTTTCCTTTATTCTCTCCTATTCATTGAGGCGGTAGCAGAATTTTCCAGATCTAGTCTAGATCAGTTGACCCTAATAAGATAAGAAATCTGGGAAATAGTTCAGCTGTAGAACTACATCCAATTAGATGCAACCATACAATAGGATGTAACAGGATGGAGGGAGAAATTGATAACGGATGCTTTATCTATCGAATCAACTGCAGACACTTGTAATGGGAATGATTCAATACTTGGAAAATTCTAATATCCCCTCAACGAATAGGAAAGAATAAAGGAAACTATAAATCGAAAGTTTTGGTAGTTGTGTGATAATTATTGATATGATTATGAACAATAAATTGTGTTCAAAAAGTCATCCAGTAAATACTACTGTTTCACTGTGTGACTTATCTAATAACAAATTAATATGGTTTTACCTACTGCAAGAGTGCCGACGTTTTATGCATGTAATAAATTCCTCTCTCTCTCTCTCTCTCTATATATATATATATATATATATATATATATATATATATATAATCACAGCTTGATTCCACACAGTATGGAATTTTCAGCATGGATATCTGTAGCCCAAATTTTACAGGCCGACCATAGATCTCAGGTGTGCGTCGGCAGGGTGTCGAACACCGGACCATGTGCATATTAGTCGAGAGTCCTAACCACTAGGCCACCCAATTTTCGTATTGTATTTTATTTCTGGAAACTACTCTGTAACGGAATATCAAGAGGTGGAGAAAGCTTACTCACCGAATACTATTACGTCTATTGATATTGTTGCATTCACAAAATTCAGCACTGATGTAAAATGCAGTATAAAAGTAAAAATAAGGATCTCATGATAAATGCTGTGAAAAATTATTAGGCTTATTTCTATTTTGGAAATTCTTCTACTATGCACATTTATTATCCACATTGAATTCGGTTTATTCTGTACGATATCTAATTGATTATTTTGATTACAGAAAACTTCAGTAACATAGCTTCATGTGTGTGTCATGAGTTTATGGATCATGAAGTATCAGCTGCTAACAATACATGCAGGAAATTTCAACAAAATTCAGTTGGTTCACAGTCTTCAGCAGCTTCACATTCTGTTTCTGGTGGTTCTCCATGTTCAAATATTTCTAGGTTTTCTCATTCTTGCCGATTTTCTTATAATTCACCAACAAACGTACCACCACCTGTTCCACCCCACTATACAGTCAGTCGTGATGTGAACTCAAAAAATGCTAATGATGTAAGTCAATGATAGTTTCATTTAGAAATAATAAACTAAAAACAGTTTTCTGGACATTTGGCTTCCTAACAATAGTGCCATGGTATTTCCCAATCCAGTAGTCTTTCAAAGATATGAGTTTTGTAGGCCTAAATTTCATCGCTGATCCAATATGTTTCTTATTTGTCCGTAGTGCATATATATCTCATTCTGAGGAAGTAATATAACGTTTGATTTCTTATAAGGTCCAAGTTGGATTTGAAAAAAGTAACTCACTAATAATTTTAGGTGGTGGTTACTCCATATCGTAAACTAATCGAAATAAAAAATCATGGGTCATTAGTTTCCAACTCGCTCAGTGAATGTGATTCATGTTAATGATGTGACAACTAGTTACATTATATGTTAACAGTCAGGTACCAGGTAGTCGTGCTTAATGTACGTTACTTGACAGTTACTAAAGAACCATAAATTCCATCTTTAAATAGATTATATCTCCTGAATTATTCGAATCTGAATCATTAGGAGGTTATGCTTTTCAGAACATGACCTTAAGCAAGGCTGAACTATGAATACCAATTAGTCATTTTACGACTGACTATTTGATTGAATCATGCATACTTATTACTGATACGAATTTAGTTTAATTATCAAGTTTTGGAAATGGAATTCCATTTCACCAGTGTTGTAACGAGGATTAATTTTATACATGCTTTTGGCCATATGAATTTATTTTCATAAGAAATTTCTGTCAAAACTTAAATATAAATTCCCCTTCATGAATATAAACACAGATAGAACAAACATCGGTGCAGAATGATATGGTTCCATTTTATTTCGTTAGTTATCGCCAGCCGCGTACGACCTATACATTCAATAAAACAGGTCATAATAAAATTGTAATATACATTTGGTTCATTACGATAAATAATTCCTCCAGTAAGGATTGTTGTGAGACATTTGTAGTTAAACAAAACATAAGGATAATAAGGTTATCTCTGATGATTAGTATGCATAAATATTTAATAAGAGCGAAATTTCTCGTAAAAAATGATCGGTTTTGTTGTTAGGGTGACGATAAGTCAGTGGTAATTGCGCGATCAGAGACAATAAAATCCAGTGAAAATTCCAAGATTGGGAGGTCAAAATTTGGTATGTACGAAGTGGAATGAAAAGGCGATGTAATAAAGTGGGTAGAATTCAAAAGATAGGAGATTACGTGTGGTGAGAGCAGGCTGCTAGCCGATTGGTAGACATTAATCTAGGCTGATTCAACAACCAATCACAGCAGACTTAAACGTGGGCAAATATGATTCGCAGATATATGGCTCTACTTTCCGAGAAATATCGAAAACAACCAATCAGAAGACTGCGTTTGTCTGCTTGCATAAGCCTCATTAATGTACATGAAATAATTATAAATACGTGTTGATTTTCGTAATAAAACGATCTGTTGCCTGGCCCTTGTCTTCTGTTGTTACATACGTCGATTATGAGAGTGGAGCAGAATATAAAGTGGGGGGAGGGTGGTTGTGAAGCAAAATTCGCTGAAAATTCCATGCTGTAAATTGTTATTGTTGTGGAATAAAGTGATTATTATTATTAAAAGGATGAAATCAGAAGTTAAAGGGTTAGTAAGATGAGAGTTACCAGGGTGATTGAAGTCCCATGATGGATTTATGTCGGATACAGTTTAGATTTCAGTAATTACACTGCGATAACTTCAGCAAACCTCAGCAGACTTAAATTGTTATGTGTGCTGATTATTTTGAATGCTGCCAGTGCGTCCATTCGGTATCTTGTGTCTAACAGGTGTGTGGTAATTAACGAGTCTAGAGTATTCATTTCCTTCCTGTGCAAGATTTTTCATAACATTCTGTTTACTCATATGTTTTTTTGTTCTTTTGTATTTTGCTGTAGTCACCTTGATATGATTATGAGCAATAAATTTTGCTCTAAACGTCATCAGTAAATATTACTGTATAACACTGTGAGACTTTATCCAAATAATTTTTCATAAACAGTGGAATTATACTCTACCACAATGTACAAGTTCTGTTCTCATATTGTTGTATTTTTGTTTGATTAATCAAGAGTTGATTATTTAATCTTATTTGTTACATCCAGTACACTTATCAATAATCCTTCAAAATTATTAAAGCACCAACAGAGACTTTACAGTTATGCTAGTAAAACCATATTTTACTGGTTTACTTTCATTAAATTACTTTAGCAAATAATTTTTTATCTATTTGTAGTAATACTTCAGCATTAATTTGTAGATTGTCTCAATCAGCGTCTACGAATATAGTAATTAAAAGAGCACTTTCTTGTGAAGTAAAGTATTTTGTAGACAAATGTTACTTTGACACATTTCTTGCAAGCAAAACCTGATTTCTTTAAATGCTTAAAATCAATCCAGTACATGCGTGGAAGAATGAAACAATTCGAAATAATCTTTTAATAAGGAGGTGGCCTATTTTTTGATGATACTTGTTAGTGAACAATATCTGTATTCCTGAAGAAAGCATTAATTTCCCAAAGACTTGAATCAACACCATTTCGAAATAAAATCAGTGGTTTTACTATTGAGCTATTTATCTGTAGCTACGTATTTCATATATTTTTTAGTAACCAGACGGTTACCAGTGTCACTGTATTTATTTAAAGCAGCTCCACGAATACATTCTTGCTTGGGAACCGTAACATTGGGTGTTGCAGATATGAATCTCTGAAACAGTCAGTTTCTTAGGGATCACAGAGCATACTGTTACCGGTTCTTAGCAAGCAAAACATTTTGTAGCACAAATTCCGTATACTGTCACGTTAACCAGTCTGATGGATATTATGAATTATAAGGACCATCAAATCTCTAACCATGCTTATATATATATATATATATATATATATCGGTTTTAACACGTCCTTCTAATATTCGATCTTCATATTTCGTTTTGTTAAGAAACCCCCCTTAATCTACGTCTGTTAATGCTGAAAAAAATCTTTCGAACTATTTATTTGATTATTTTTATTAATAGGATGACGAAATGCTGTCAAATGAAAGAATCAAGTCGGACTCACAGTTAGAACAGAAATTTTTGTCTGGAAACGATATTTGTTTTGTAGACGCTAATCTAGATTCTGAGCATGAATCAAACCAATTTCACATTTCAAACGTTCATCATCATTTTAAGGCATCTAATGAATACACTGACTGTGAATCGATTCGTAGTTATTCTAATATATTTTACAGTTCACTGCCTTTAGATGAAATGGATGTTTCTCAAGAATTAACTACAAAGGATCTACCCTTTCTAAATGTTAACCTTGCTAACAAAGAAGTTGAAGGACAAGACACACGTCGAAGTGAACTGCCTAAAGATGAAACAGAGTGTGATATACATCAGTGCAATCTTGATAAAGAAAACAATTTCATTATTGAAGCAGAACCTTATGGAGTTGAAGAAATAGAAGTATATGAATCAGAAAAGTTATCTGATATTATTGCTAAGGACAAATGTAATCAACCTGCTGTAGAAAGTGACGTGAGTTGATTATTACATGGTTTAATTCTTAAAATGTTAAACACTTCACAAAGCCGAGATCTAACTGAAATGAATCAACCTAATTGGGTTGAATGAATTTGCTCCATAGATGCAGTTGACCGGTGTGAATAACTGAATCCTTTTCGCACTAACTAATAGTCAGGTCAGGATGATTTAAATACCGTACTTTCATTCATCTCGTTTGAGGACAGATTCATCAATAGTATATTCGAACAGATTCGACTAAGTGAGTAGGAATTTTAAAGTAATGTAGACATTATAATAAATATAGATGAAGCTAATTTAAAAGACAATAAAAAAGATGGCTGATGATCTCATGAATTTTGTGGGTAAACAGTGTGTAAACTAGTGACTCTTCCTGGCTGCCTACACCGTATGGTTTGTTGTTCTCAGAAGAGGAAGTGTATTATTTATGTGTAAACATAATATATAGTGATGGTCATTTCAAATCTACAAATTCACTGAGGTGTTTTGGGATAAATTTTTGACTGACCTAGGTGATACACGTCGTTATCGATAGCAATGGTTCATTTGTATCTATGTTTTATCATCATAGTGATTATAGTATCATATTTCTGTGTATTCTTTATCTCTTCTTCTCTCTACAATCTTTGGTTCAGGTATCATTTTCATTTGTTTATTTCATATAGTATTTGAAGCTTGGCAGATTGAAGCATTACAGAGTGATGATAAGTCTTATGTTGGTAATGTTTGTCTTTCTACTTCAAAGTTAAATCACTTAACTTTATTCTAGATGTTTGACTGAAAGGATTAGGATTAAATTTTAGGCTATTATTTAGCCTTCAAAATTATGATAATTACCTTTCATATTTAAGTTTGGTGAAGCTGACCCTCATGTAACTGACTTTTATGCTTAGTGCACTGTTTTTTATGCAGTTCATGAAGCACCTTATTTTGGATGAATTAATTGTCTAACTAAATAATATATCGTATGAAATATCATACGGCTGATACAGCAATTTACCAGAAATTTATAATCTCTTAAATTATCTCCCTTGTTCAAGTCCATGAAGAAACAAGAAATATATTGCGGTCTTATAGCTTTTTAAATGACTAAATTTAACACTTCACATAATGTTTCAAAACTTTCAAAATCTAGCCTGGAGAGTTGGATCTATTCTAGACATATTTCAAACAACCAAAAACGACCGAAATGATTTGGAACTCTATCTTTATATTTTTACGAGTTTGACCACAGATTGATATCAGTTAGTTTATGCTCATTTCTTTACTTTGTGAATTTTTTGGTATAGTTGTGGTTGATGAAAATGGCTGGATTTAAAGATGTTACACTTGTAATGTCCACAGTTGGTAAAAAGCAAGGAGATTTATACATCTTATGAAAACAGTGTTAGGGACTTAGAAATGAAATAAAATTAGGCATGGACCATGATATCAAAGTCTACTGATTGGAAATGCCTTAAATTGAGGTTATATTTGATTTTCGCATGTATACCATGAAGATCTTACAGGAAATACGGAGTTTAGCTCCTCTTTTCAGGATGATTCTTTTTGATTAGCTACCGTTTTAAAATCTAATTTATTTGTTAGATGCACCATATAGTGAAAAGCTTTCAAAGACAATCGTTTGTCGTTAGTAATCATACCAAATGCTACTGCAAAGTTTGAAAGCTAGATTTCTGAAGCTATAATGACTCCTCTTGGTTTGTCGTTAGGGTAGCAAGAATCTCTAGCTATTTGGAACAAATAGTGAACAATCTCTGTTGCACATATTCTCAGTTGACTTCATAAACGAAGTATTTGTTGTCTTTCTCTTCTTTCACTGCACTATATCATATTTTAGAACTATCACTTTTTCCCACCTTATTCTATATTTTGTGTAGCTGCCTGTAAAACTAGAGCTACGCCTTTCTTTGTTTTCTTATTTTAGGAGTTCCTGTGATTCAGTAGTTTGACTTCATATTGATGGCACAGTGTTAGATAAGTTGAATCATTTTGTTTTATGGGTTCCAAAAGAATTCCTTAGCTAATTCAGCTTGTTACTAAATAAGTTTTTGAGTTCAAATGCCTCGCTAAGTGGAGCTTCATACATTATGAATTCCTTGACTAATGTATAGTAACTTACTGTCTTCAAAGACGCCAACTCATCAGGCTGCACTCAGTAGCAGTGTATCGTGCGCCGTTCAAGTTCAGAGCATTATTTCTAAATTGGAAGGAGTCTCTCCATTTATTCAGATAGATTTTTAGAGGTAGTTGTTCAACACTAAGGATTTATTTTATATCTTTTTGTATTAAATTGCCTGTTGTATTAGTTTCTTTTTTTGACCTATAACTTGAATAGATGACTAATGCTACTTCTACTGAAATAGGGTAAAGTCATTTAAAGTACTGCTTCAAGTGTATGCTTTCCGAAAGGTCCGGCAAACTTATTCCCTTCTGGGAATTATTATTACAATCTAGCATTAATGGTGACATTAGGAGAGGAATACCAAATTAGTAGACACTACTCAAAATCGCTTAGTCTTGAAAAGTTTAAAAATATTCTTTGGATGAAGTAATCACAACTACTGATATCCGTCAGAAATGTCCACTATCACCGTCCTCATTTAGTTTCGTTTTACACGTATGTGTGTAACTATGGTCAGATTCTATGTTTGATACATTGATTTTTATCAGATAAACGCTTCTTTGGTTAAGAGTAGAGGTAGTGTAGTTGACAAAATACAAAGTTTTCTGAACCTTTTGAGCAGATCATTGAGTATAGTTTCCAAGTAGCTCAAATCTGTCAGATTTGAAACTATGATATGGCATTTATCTATATGACTTTCCAGCTTAGGGATAGGTACTGAAGCAGTCGGATGTACTGACCAATTCATCACAACAACCTATTACTCGAAAAGCATGCAGTATGAAGTGCAGATGGACTGGACATAAGACTTATACTCTATTGGTTTGTTGAAACTCTTTTTCACCACTTTGAAAATTTTTTAAATTCTAGCATCACTCTAGAGGTGTATTAACCGTATAGAGTAAAACTTGTGAGGATGTAGCATAAATAGCAACATTTCAGTTTCTAATACCGTATCCATGGTAAGTTTAAGTTACTTTAGAATAAATATTAGGACGAACCCTTTTTTCTAGTTAATTTATTCCATATAAAAATATGACCAACTGTATGCAGTGGAACAGAATGACTGGTAAAGTTGTTATTGTATTTTTGGAGAAGTGAGTTCAGTCTAAAGAGAAAATATAACTTACTTTATGTAGTATTGTGGAGTGCGCTACTTATAAGACTAATCAGTAGTATGTAAAGATACGTCTGTTGACATAAAAACATTAAAGAGAAGGGATATAGACTTGATGTTAGAGAAAACAAATAATATAGAATTTCGGGGATACATGGGAGACGTAAAAGGGACACAAAGAAACACAATATTTAAAAAAAATATTTTTGATTATAGCTTGATCCGACAAAGTATGTTGGTACAACTATGGAATTTTCAGCATGTGGTATCGGTAGCCCAAATTTCGCAGGCCAATCATTTATATCAGGTGTGCGTCGGCCGGGAATTGAACCCCGGACCCTGTGCGTGGTCGGCGAGAGTCCTAACCGCTGTACCACCGACTCCAGGGATAGTACAACACGGAAGATCTGTGCAAATGGTGATTTGAAGATACGGTGTACATAACTTCGCTATATAGAGACACCAAATTCCAAATAAAACGTCCCTTCACCGAGTCTCTATGTTGCAGTATGGCTTTGGAGTTAATCTGGGCATTATTATGTGACAGATATTTGTACCAACAAATGCTGATTGATATCATCCATCACGCTGATAGATTTCCTAGGTTAGTTTTATAACAGACATGCGAAAAATTATATTGGTATAAATTTCAGCGATATTAAGACAAACAATTTTAAACTTTCCCTCGATAAACTGGTTCCAATTCATATACGCAGAGAATACATATACGTACTTTGGGCTCAGTGGTGTTTGTGGACCTGTCCGGATAAGTCTTGATCGGAGGTCATTTAAATTATTTTTACAGCAGTTGTCAAAGAAATACCTATTTCACTTTTGTTTAACATAAATGATTATGAATAAAAAAAAACATGTTATGTAAATTTAATATTTCGGTTGATGTTAAGAATAACCTCTTTTGTTTATCTTCTATTGTAATTAATAAAATATAAGCGTAGATGGTATAAAATCAAAACGCGACTTTAATTAAAATGTATTACAGTTAGTTTGTTAAAATGCTCTTTGATATAAATATAAAACTTGGGCATTGTGGTAGAGCATAACTCCATTATGGATAATGGTGTTAAAATGATCGTTACATGCTGCCGGTTAGGCAAAATAAGCAGACTATGAATCTCTTCTTGGGTCTGCAAATACACCACATTATTCAGGTAAACTCCGTGTCCCTATCTAAAAACAAAGAGTCAATAATACAATATATACGTATTTATTGCTTTAAAACGCCTTAACGATAGCATTTCCTGACATTTTGCAAGCTGTAAATGTTCTAAATTAATTAAGTTGGCCTTACTACACTTACTACACTATTAAAATTATGAAGTTTTTTTTTATGAAAGTATCACTGAACAACATGGAACCAATAACAAAAATTCCGTTTTACCATTGATACAGCCAAAAGTAGATTTGACATAGTAGCATACATAAGAATCACGTTTGACTTCATTTGTGTAGTATTGTCTTAAGCTACGCTCTCCCAAAGACACTCATTGTATATACTCACATCTTTACCTAACCCTTTATCATTTGAATAGTTTCAGTTGACCGTAACAATTACTTTCGCATATGAAGAACTGAATTCAGTGATTGGGGATCTACAGAAAACTCTTCCATAGTCTTACAATTACAGCATTTATTTAGATGGTAAAAAGTCAATTACCAGTGTACTGCGTGATGATAACATTGATAGTCATTATGTATATAAATAGTATATAACGAAATACCATGAAGGGAAGGGAAGGGAGATCATCATTGGGATAGTTAAGGTTGAACAGGGTGGAAATATAAACGCTGTCAGATGATTTCGAATAAAAAGGAGACTGAAATAGACGTAACTAGAAATAAAATGCGACTGGTGTTCACACACATGGAATTCAAAGCAAGCTGGGAATATTTATTAAGTATGAAATATGGTTTATCAAAATAAAAGTCTCATACAAAACCTTTGAGGTAAGCAACGAGTGTTACTATTGTAATATAAATTAACTTCCCGTTAAAAAGTAACAATAAGCTGTGAATAAATGACTCAAAAACGAATCAGTGTAGAACTATATGTGCAAGCTCATTCATCAAATTTAACACACTTCATAGAAGCACACAATAAGAGGCGGCAGATAAACAGTGATGGTAAGTTAGATATCAAGGTTTACTTCAGTATGTATAACAAAGCCATTATCTTTAGCTATTTGGTGTAGCGATATATTCATGAGTTTTTCAACATTCTGAGAGCCGTTTACATTGTACCGTTAGGTAGAGTGACGACTATCACCGCTATTCTTAACCAATTATGGGGTTGCTCAAACTCCCCGATCCTCCTTAACTTTATTATCGTTGACATCCTAAGGACAGCTCTGAAGAATGTGAGTGGTGTTGGCGGTGTTGATATGGTACCTTGAAAAAGAATTTTTTGAGTGGGCAAGTGATTTCGTCCTAGTGTATGACAACATACTAGATAGCCAAATCTCACTTAAACAAGTTGAAGGTCAGTGTCTGCAAAATAGTATACCCTTTACTATGTCTAAATGCAAAGTGTTGTTGTAGGATTGGTATCACAATTCCATTAGTGAAGTCTGAGAAGTAATCTGAATCAGTTGCTTGACACATTCTTAGATATGACTAAAAATCATAATCAGTGGAGAATTTTCTGGGAGTAAAATAAGTTTATAAACACTCCTTAAATGCTCTTGACTTCTGTGCTTATCTGTTTGCATGGTTCTGTTCGATTACTTTCCTATACATTAAGTTTTGTTGTTCTTCTATGTGGTGCATTTATTCCTGCACAAATTATATTAAGCTTTTGATTACACAATAATAATAATAATAATAGCAGTCAGATTTGAAAATACTGGCTTGAAAGAACTACATACTGTTTAAAAATCATGGATCCTTGAGCCAATTCTAAAGTGTGTTATGATTTTTAACTCTTTAACATTGTCCCACTAAGTGTTTTATTTGATGATGCTGATGTAGTGACCCCCAAACATTCTAACCACAATAAATCACATGCAATTGTTTTAATGAAATCCTGTTAGCTACTGCACTACAGGTGATCTGCAGGTTGTTTTCGCATATTTAAGTTGAGTTAACCACTTCTGAATTGAAATATTTTTGATGATAATAGGAAATAGACTTTTCCTAATTGTGTGAAATGTAGTTTTATTTCATTGAATTTGTGATTGCACAAGTAAATTTGAATTCGGGTTTTAAATCGATTAATCCCGTGTCTTGACATTAATTGGATATACTTTTAGGGCTTCTAAGTAGTCTCAAATGTGGTTGATTTCAGTATATACTGCGGTTGAATTTATCAGAGGGAAGAGTGATGCATAAATTATAGTCGAACGATTGCATGACTGTTCCGTGCTAGCATGTTTTGACATATTTCTTCTCAGTAAGCGTTCAATTTTTAGTGGTTTGTTTCTGTTTATTCCATTTCTATTTCAAGGTTTGTGCCTGTTTTATTGAAAGGAATTTGAATTCTTTACACACATTTCGCAGGTCAGTTATCAAGGTCGTCTGTCGCTGATAAGTTCTACTAATTGGCAAATATTTTCTTGTATCAGTGAAGCAGCCTTTACATCAAATACAGCAGAATCTTCAACGCCTGATTTACAGATATGCTTAGCCCAACCAGGTAACTTGGTATTTTGTTAAAAAAAATGACGAATTCATCCTAACACTGTTCATTATTTCAACGAGTGTTTCTGTATATTTTGGAAAATCTGTGAACGAAATTTACTTTCTTTTTCTTTCTCTAACAAGATTACACACGTCTTTATTTAGTAAAAATTGAGCCAATCAGTAATGTCTTCAATACACTTGGCATCATATGTGAGTTATAATAACGTTGTTACATCAACGATGTTTACTAACATTTAAAATCTAATAACTGCATGTTTATTTAAATTTCCTTGCTGACCACCGGATAAATCACGTTTTAGACAATTAAGGTCAAAATTATTTTCATAACAAGTTATCTGAATTCAAGGAATACAGGTAATATATCTGATTCACACCAGGAAGTACAACACTGTTTGATATGAGGTCGTGTTCAGTTGATGTGATGCCACCACATGACTATGACATGAACTTTGTATAGATTCGCGTCACTGTATAGTGTGGTCGTGAAACAGTTTCCAAGTTACTTCACGGTCAGCGCTATCGAAGACTTTTCTAAAGTTGACAAAACTGGAATAGAGAGTTGAGTGCCATTCGTGTTCAGTTGAAAAGCCTTAAAGTAAAACATCGAAATTAGAATTCATCGGTGCATGCATTGCAGTAAATACTGGTGTTCCTCCTGAGAAAAGAAATTAATTCTCGTTGTTTCAAAAACAAGCACGTTACTTTCTAAACTGCTCACTCACGATAGCCAAATATTGCCCGACAAATACTAGTCTGTAATACACTTCGTAGCTTTTTCTAACAGTGCTTTATGCTAATAACTGACGCCTTGATATTACCTTTAGCATCATCTTGGTTATGCTTTTATTGGTGTTTAGTGCCGGAATCAGCATACTAACACAGACTAATCAATTCATTTGGCTAATAAATAATAGGAAATATCGAGAAGTTCATTAAGAAATCAATTAATTTCATTTCACATCTATTTTTTCTCCTTATTATCTGGTGACCCGTTTTTTATTTCATTTTATTCCTTTGCGTTCCAAGTTGAACATAGGGCTTCAAGCTTCATCTCCAAAGTTACGATGGTAAAGGGTTTATTTTCTCCGGGTGGGGCTGCCAGTCTCACACCGAGCCTTGCAGGCTCACCACCGTGTTAGCAAGTTCTAGCAGCGTGTCAGCCGGGGATCGAAACTTGGACCACCTGCGTGGCTCCAAAAAACATCCTACCGCTGAACAACCAATACTGGTGACTTATTACCTTCTGCCCGCAATAATTTATATGTGAATTCTTAATTCCATTAACCAAAAAATTGTCAATAAACAGATGCATCGTCTGCATCTAAGAATGTGTCAATTTCATTGTAGTTATCTGTAATTCTCAGTAATAATTGTTCGGAAAATAAGAATAACTTCTGTACAGTTAGGCTGTCATCATAGATACTTGAGGTTCGCCTAATCATCGCTAAACGCAAGGATTACTTATTTATATCCTTTTATGTTAATTATATTTATTGACACCTTTAGGTAGAGCGTCAGAGATGACTACTGTCCTATTAAGCCCTTCGTCCTGTTACAGCTTTTCATTTTCACAGTGAAATTAATAACCATCTTAAACCCTTTATCAGACCTGTATTACTGAATTGTTGCTACCACCGAATTCAGTAACTGAAACATTCAAATTGTGAAATCAATATTATTATTATTACAAGGTGAAATAACAGGTTAGCATAAGTATACGGGTATTTTTGTTGATACTTAAATTGGGAATCCTACATCGGCAACAAAGCGTATCGAATCGTCTAAAGTAGCGACCTACAAAATTGCAGCTTGTTTGTAAGCCTTAGTTTTTTTTTTTGCTTTTGCTTCGCTTTACTTCAATCGATAGCCTAATAATTGCCCATCCACATTACAATTTAAATATTATGTCTCTGAAAAGTTTGTCTTTAAAAATTCAATTGAATACTTTCCAACTTGTCAAATCTCTCTGAATATCGATTCATAGAACCGTGAAACTTTTATTGATTAAGGCTAGGGTTAATGTATATCTGTGACTGTCTGTCATGTAGGAATAACTAAAATTTTGTATGTGTATTTATGCATGTAAACATTTATTTTAGGTATAACTTGAAATTCTATTCGCTGTCACTTTAATCCACACCACAACAATGCTGAGATAAAATAAAGGTTAAGTAAAATGCTTTAATTTAGCTTTCTTTTTCTTCTTCTAGAGTCCGTATATCTATAAAAAGATAAAAATCGACCCGTATAAAGTGGGGAATATTTTTTCGCCGGGTTTTTTGAAATTTATCTAGAGAAATAAGAATCCTCAAGATCACATCTTTTGATAATTTACTTTTTCGTACATAATCTACACTTGTCTACACTTTTACCCTCTTATTAACAATGCAATGTTTGCTTTAAGTAGAAATTCTGTTGACACTGGAGTCTGTTCCTGTTTGGCGCTGTTTTTATAGCAAAGCCTTCTTAAATGAAACTATGAATTCTCTTGGTGTTACGGACTAGATGCCCAATAGACCACCTTCTTATAGATGAATCTACTTACAAAAGTATTTTAAACTTACATATCTGCAAAAGTGGTCAGTTGTTAATACATATAAACCAAGTTGGCTCTAAGTGTAAATGTCATCGTGCAATTAAAAGCTGCCTTGGCTCTATACTGAATATAAGGTCACTGGAAAGGGTAAGCAACCAGGAAATCTGGAAGCAAACTATCCAAGAGCCAATCGCCTAACAAATATTCAAAAGGAGATCGAGACAGATTGGAAATATGCTGAAAAGACCATGGGGTGACATCAGTCGCCAGGATCTTGAGTCAAGCTCGAGTTGAAAACAACTACTTGGGTGTCCAAGAGTGACATGGAGGAGATCACGTGAGTAGGAAATGACAGCTTGTTGACAATGATGGAGCCAAATGAAAAAGACCACAGAGAACAAAGTGGATGGAGATGTGCTGTTGAAGCCTTATGTTTCACTTGGAACTCAAGGGAATAATAATACGATAGTAGTAAAAGCATATCGTATAATTAACTTTTTAATAGAAAAAAATTCATTCTGGTTGTCTGAATCAGCTATTACGCTACTGAAACTGTTTCACTGAAATCACTGTACAAGAAATACTCAACTCAAGACAGATGAATTTTTGTATTTTGTAGGTGGATGAATAGGATAAGTGGTACATTTGGGCCACCGATATCCATGCTGAAAATTCCATACTTGTACTTGTAGGGGCCTGGTACGTGATAACACCCAGCGGTTTCATTAGTGTGTGTTCCATCCATTTTTATTCTCCTTTGTGTATCTGTTAGACAATAGGTCGTTGACTGTTGCGCAGCTTATCATTTCCGGTCTGCCATCTGATTTTCAATATCAAGACATACGAAAACAGGTATTGATGAAAGTCTGAAGGCCTCTAGAAACGCTATTGGTGACTTATCGAGCCTCTGAATCATTTGGAAACACTGACTTGACTCTAGTTTTGAAGGCATGGATCTTGTTGTTTATGGTGACTACAGAAGATTTACACACTGATTTCAGGTTAATGAAGGGATGCTTTTATTTCTAACCCCGGTTCGCCTTGGCATCCTCATTCATGCCACATTTAGTTGAAACGATGATGCCCAGGGAAGTCAAAAGGGTGACCTCCTTTTTATTTCTCTTGTTGATGGAAACTGATTGGGTGTCTATTTTCTCTCTGTCTACTTGAAGTCCTGTCTTCTCGTTCTACAGAGTCTGTCACATATTCCATTCTAACACAGTCAGGAGTCCTGTCGGTGATACCATGCAGCTTTTTCTTACTCCTGTTTTTATTTCAAGCGTTTCAATAAGTTTTCTGTTATGAATCACCTGTGATGTGATGCCACCACATGACTATGACATGAACTTTGTATAGATTCGCGTCACTGTATAGTGTGGTCGTGAAACAGTTTCCAAGTTACTTCACGGTCAGCTCTATCGAAGACTTTTCTAAAGTTGACAAAACTGGAATAGAGAGTTGAGTGCCATTCTGTGCTTTATTCGGTGATAATGCGTACTGTTGCAGTTTGATTAGCTCATAACTTGTTTTTTCCTAAATCCAGCTCTCTGCATGTGACTTTCTGCATCCTAATATTTTGCTTGGAGTGGACAAGAGCATGATCCCACTACAGTTCCTGAGTTGGTCTAATTCACCGTTCTTTGAAACTTTGACAAGGTAGATTTCCCTCTAATCAGTAGGTACCTTTCCTTTCTTGCGAACTTTTGCACTAGTGGTATGAGCATATTCGCTTTGGTCCATTTACATCACTTCTGGGAGGATTTCGTCCAGCCCTGCTGCCGTCTCAGCTGACTTTCACAACTTTATGCTATTCAGGAATTTTCTTCTGTAATTTCCGGTGGAGATTTGTAAATGGTGGCTAGTTCATGGGTTTCTATGAAGTGATCAGCCTATTGTTTCCTTTATTCCTCCTCTTTGGTGATTAGATTCCATTGACTATCTTTTATTGGTTTTATCTGTGTTGGTCTCTTTCCGGGTTAATTTATCGTTATCTGACATAATGTTCTGAGATCTATTTAACCTGCAGCTAGTGTGTCGAAAGTTACCCTTTTGTGTTTCCTGGCACTCAGTAAATTCCTGATTGAACTCAGCTTCTCCTTTCATTTTTCACCTTTGGAGTGTTTCTTTTTCTGCCTCACCATCCTTGTTTCCTTTAGCAGCTCTCACGTATCTATAGGAAGCCATTTTTGTCTTGCATATTCTTCATCCCTAAAACGACCGTAAACGTTTCCTTAAACATCACTTTCAGAGACTTCCAGTGTTCTTCCACACGGGTTTTCTTGATGACGCTATAAAATGTCCCCCACTTTTCCTTATTGACTGGAGTGAATATGTCCTTCGTAATTTCGTCCTTCAGTTTACGAATGTTGAACCTGAATTATTGTTTATCTCCAGCTTCTTTAAACGAATGCAACTTGACGTTGGAACGTCCTTGCACTAGATCATGATCTGAGCCC